GTCCCATAGGGAGGCTGTAGGGTCCGGCGGGGGGGGTGCCGGGGGCTGGAGGGTCACGGCATGAATCCCATAGGGTGGGGGGGTTCCCATAGGGTCAGGGGGTTATACAGGGTCATGAGGTCCCAGGGTCACCTGGGGACAGAGGGGTCCCACAGCAGAGGGGCAGCCAGTCTGTAGGGCCACGGGGGAGGGCTGTGGGGGTCCCCCAGGGTCACCCCCTCCACCCCCTCCAATTCCCGCTTTGGCGGCGCAGCCCCAGGAAACTGCCGAGTCCATAAAACTGCGCAATCTTTATGGAGCCACTTTCACACGTCGGGGGCTGTAAAAAGCGGTGACCTTTGAGCGGCCACAGGCGAGCGGGGAAAGCTGCCGGGACGGTCAGCGGCTGACGGTGACGTGGACGCGGTGCCAGGCGTTGCTGAGGACCCCACGCAGGTTCCAAATGGGCGCCACGGTGTCGGGCTGCACGTTGTAGCTGCCGTCCACCGCCTTGCAGATGATCTCCAGCTCGGTGCCCGCCGTCACCGGCGCCTGCAGCTCCCACAGCGCCCAGGCCCAGGCGCGCCCCGGCACCGGTCGCTCGCCCGTCAACCGCGCCACCCGCCAGGTCCGGCCGCCGTCCAGCGAGACGTCCACCCGCACCACCTCCCGCCCGCCCCCGCTCCAGGCGTAGCCCTTCACTGTCAGCTCCCCCTCTGGCACCGCCGCGCCGGGGCGCGGGTGGGTGATGGCCGACTGCACCGGCAGCTCCTGGATGGCAGGCGCCGTCGTGTAGTCCACCGTGTCCCAGTCCACGCAGGGGGAGAAGCCCTTGTAGTCATTCCGCTGCCAGTGGCTGGGGCTCTCGGCCGGGCTGACGGCCACGCGCTGCAGCCATTTGACGCTGCGGGCACCCACCACGCCGGGCACCACCACGCGCAGGGGGAAGCCGTGGTCACGGGGCAGCTCCTCGCCGTTCATCTCGTAGGCCAGCAGCACGTCGGCGGCCGGGCTGACGGCACGGCCATAGGGGATGGAAGCACCATAGGGGGCCCCCGCGGCGTCGGCGTCCAGCCCCTCAAAGCAGACGTGCCACTCACCCTCCCGCTCCTCGCCGAAGCCGGCGTCCAGCAGGATGTCGCGCAGCCGCACGCCGCCCCAGCGGGCCGTGCTGATGGCCCCGATGTCCCACGCCAGCCCCTTGACGGGGCGGACGCGGCTCATTTCGGCTCGGCGGTTGCCGGCGCACTGCAGCGTGGCCGTCACTTCGTGCTTGGGGAAGCGGCTGCGCAGCTCGGCCCGTGACAGCAAGAGCACCCGACCCCCCGGCCCCTCCCACCGCAGCCGGTAGGAGCTGGGATCCACCGCCGGCACCGGCAGGTGGTTGCGGGTGAAGAAGAGCTCGTTGGGCGTCAGGAAGCGCTCGGCCAGCAGCTCTGCCGGTGGCTCCGCATTAAATGGCTTCTGGCTGTTGACCCGCAGCCCGGGGTGCCGGGGGGGGTCCCCGGCGAAGGGGTCCTGGGTGGCGTCGGGGGCCGGCGGCGCCTCCTCGGGGCTCAGCTCCCCCACCTTGTACTCCCGCAGCAGCTCCAGGACATGGGGCTGGCTGTGGACAGCGTAGAGGGCCCAGAAGGGTTCCAGGGCCCCGCCGGCTGCCAGCAGCACCTTGTCGGCCCCCCCGGGGTGCAGCTCCACGAAGTCGGTGACGTCGAAGACCTCGGTGCCATGGGTCACCCAGATGCGGTCCTGGGGGGAGCGGTGCCGCCCCACCTCCTCCCGCGTGTACAGGGGGTAACGGGGGACGGGGGTGGCCTGGGCTGCCTGGGCACCCTGGGGGACCCCGGCCCCGTCAGCGGGGAATGCTGCACCCGGTGCCCCCTCCCCAGGGCGGGGGGGGTGCCCCCATTCCACCCCCTGCCCGTGGCAGGACCCTGGGGTCTCCCCCCAAAACCGGCACCCCAGTGCGGTGACTTGCAGCTGGTGGGGGGGGATATGGCACCACCAGCCCCCTCCCCAGCTGGACCCTGCTGTCCCCATCCCAGAGAGGGACCAGGGGATGGGGTGTCCCAGAGGATCCGGGCATCCTGGTGCTGCCCCCCCCGCCGGGGGACCCACCCCCCCCCCCCGCTATCCACATCCCAGAAAAGGACCCAGGAGCATCTCCCCCCTCCCCGGAGAACCGGGGCATCCTGGTGCTGCCCTCCCGGGACTCAGCACCTCCCCACCAGTGCCGAGACCTCACCGTTCCGGTGCTTCTCCCCCCCC